ACCAACAACACGGCCACACCACACAACAAACACATCAACCTGCGGAGAACCATATGCGAAGCAAGCAGAACAGGCAGCAGGGGAGCAGTGCAGTGCATACGAGGCCGTCACACGTCCAACACGGAGCAAAACAGCACATGACCTACGCGCATCACGATTGAACCCCGCAGACTGTTGGTTGCCATTACCCACTGAGCCAAGGAGACACTCTGACGAGCAACCGTCATCACCCACAGGCAACACAGACATCCCGAACCGAGTGCCCCCCCTAAGAGTGCAGTAGGCACTCCGAATGACGAACCAGTGGTTGTTTAGCACTACTTAAGGACAAACAACAAGAGGAAAACAGACAGACACAAAAACTGATTTTGTGTGTGTTTGTGTGTGCGTGTGTGTGTGTGTGTGTGTGTGTGTGTGTGTGTGTGTGTATGCGTCTGGTGTGTGCGTGTGTGTGTGTGCGTATGTGTGTGTGTGTGTACAATCAATCAATATCAATCAATCAGATACACAAAATCAATCAAAATTCTTTTTTTTCACCCACCAACCCCACCCCCATGAAAATGTTTTTTTTCCCTTTTCTTTTCTCTGAGGGGCAGGGTCAGGGTTCCCGAACCCCAATCCACATGCCCCCATGCCTCTTTCGCCTCTTCCTCTCAGCCCGCCATGCCTGACTCCACCTCGAAGCTACTTGTGCAACTCTACCCCAACGGGGACCTTCCAGATGCAGAGAGCACCAAGGTGACGACAATGGAATCCACCATGGCCAGGCTGGTACCCCTGGCGCTCCCCTCTACTAGTCCGTTCTTCCTACACCTGTCTCCGCCAAAGCAAAGGCAGAGAGTTGGGCAATGGGTGCCCTTCTTCCCCATACAGCACTGCACACTAGCGCTGCTCCTCCAGTGCTTCAGCCGCGTTACTTTCAAACTCGCACACAGCAAATGAGGAGCACTTCGCTCCTCCTGGAGATATACCGGCCAACTTGACTCTTGGATGGTGACTTCCAGGCCGCACGACCTCCAAGCAACGGGTACCTGGTCCCTTCAGAGGGAAACATCATTGCAGACTCTGATATCACAGGTAGAGGCCCTAGACTCAGACTACTTGAACCAGACTCTGATATCGCACGTAGAGGCCTCTGAAAAATCCAGTTTTTTGTCTTCTGCTCGGCCTCCAGTCCCCGACACATCTACCGCAACTTGACTGTTACCTGTGATAAGCTAGGATCAGTACTTAGCAGCTTCACGTATGAAGTGATCCCCGATGCACGAATTTTAGTTGATCTCAAAAAGAAGGGTCCATTTATTAATTTTTGGGGACTAAAAGACTGCATCTTTCAAAATTGCCCCTTCCCTCATTGGTTCTCCGCACAGACGTTTAGCGACCGCATGGAGAAATACAAGAAACAGTTACGAATTATTGTTATCGGCATTCAAATTTCCTTCCTGTTAAAGCGCCCGCAACCGTTTTGAATTTTTGCATGCCGTGTAAACTCGCTTCCAGCCGTGCACCTACGCGCCATCTTCCCTTCTTGCCAGGGCGCTACTCTGTGCATACCTCTTCGTCTTCCCCCAACTCTGCGCTTGATCCTCTCCTCACCTATCGGCGCAAATGATAGGTTATCTAGTAGAATTTTGGCATGCCGTGTAAACTCGCTTCCAGCTGTGGACCTGCGTGCCATCTTCCCTTCTTGCTAGGGCGCTACTCTGTGCATACCTCTTCGCCTTCCCCCAACTCTGCGCTTGATCCTCTCCTCACCTATCGGCGCAAATGATTGGTTGTCTAGTTGGGATGGTCGGATCAATGCCTTGAGAACAAATTGTGCACGCAGCTTTGGACGAAAGCCCCAATTAAATGGAACTATTGATCAGCCCCTCTTTTGTTCCTTCTGGAATCTCCTTCCTTCCTTTGTCTTACTCATCTACAACCCTTGATGGCCACACCATGTTCTGGCAGCCCGCCTCCTGTCTCTTATACACATCTAGATGTGTATAAGAGACAGGGTCGGATCAATGCCTTGAGAACAAATTGTGCACGCAGCTTTGGACGAAAGCCCCAATTAAATGGAACTATTGATCAGCCCCTCTTTTGTTCCTTCTGGAATCTCCTTCCTTCCTTTGTCTTACTCATCTACAACCCTTGATGGCCACACCATGTTCTGGCAGCCCGCCTCCTTTCCCTCTCGTCGATCTGCCACAGTGTCCTTCCACCCTTCCCGATTGCAGACTGAGACTGTGTGTACTGCAATGAGGACGTGCGGAGCGTGCTGTTGTGAACCGACCCGGTTCACTGGTACAACCCATCTACGGCCTGTCATGTAGGGGGGAGTAGGTTTGTTCTGATTGATCGGTTTTCCTCCCCTGCCCTGATGTTGCCATACACCAATTTGACGATGCTGCCTTGTTCAGCAGTCCACGCCACGTAGCGGCCCCACTTTAACTGTCACTGGTGTCGGCAGGGAGACTCTTGTTCCTTGCGGAGGCTGGTTCTAGGGTACGAAGCTGCGGACAGGTTCCCAGAACTCTCTCACAGTGCAGGCGCCCTCCCGAGGAGCTTCCAAACCTGGGTCCCCCCAGTCTTGTCCCAATGGGACAACACACCTAGCCCACTCAATGAATCCAACTAGGAATCCTAGATGCTCCATATCTGTGGTTTCCTGCCATAGAATTAGTGTGAACCTAGCGCAAGAGAAGCGGTAAATTCCTCCCTTCCCTTCTCGTTTTCCTTTTTCTTTCGGGTTGTGAGTTGTCCACCGAGTCGCGCTCCGCTCTCAGGCCCCTCGGCCGAGCGGAGATTTTGAACTGTACCCAGCTTCTGTCCTGAAGAACCCCTCGAATTCCCTAGTATCTCCATTTTGTCCTCTACGTCGGCCTGAACTTTGGGATAGCCTCGGAATGAACTTTGGGATAGCCTCAGAATGAAGAGAGAATCCCCCGTTCCATCCTGGTGATTCAACCCCTAGCCAAAAATCCTTGGCAAACCCCCCAATTACTCTGATAGGCGCCTGTTGTTGGCACGGGACATCACGTGGGGTGTGAGGTCGCACATCACATACCGGCATACCTGCTACTGGAGTGTTTTTCCCCGCTGCTGTGTCACTGATCATTTCCTGCTACTGGAGTGTTTTCCCTGCTGCAACCCTCAATTTCACGGCCAGAGGTAAGTACCGGCCTACATGAGCTTAAAAGCAATCAAGTACCCTTGCAGGTCACACGCACACTCAAGTCGTCAAGCACTCAGACAGGCACACAGAGCAGCAAACACGCACCACACAGACTTAGAAAACTCAGCAGAAAGCCGGAACCTCCGCACGACATTCATTGTAGCGGCAAAACTCAGAAATCAGCTGTGTTCTCAGTCCGTGTTTGGGCAGTGCTTACATTGTATGATATTCCCAGGAGTGAGTAGCAATCACAGCAAGAACTTGAATCCCCCTCACTCTCCCTCCACAACCCCCATGGATCTGAAATTCACTGGCCAGAGAAGTCAAACCTTCTCGAGGTCAGTAGGCCCAGCACTAGGCCGGTGCTGCTGAGATACACGTCCAATACTTCTTCTGCATAGGATTACCTATGGCCAAGCGCTTCTTCAGCTTAAGCTATGGCAGGAATGAAGAACAGTACTCAGCATGAAGTCCAGGGATGAAGCCATCCCTAGACTGTAACAGAGATGCAAGCAGCTACACTGTAAAAGGAAAAGTACTCAGGACGAGGTTTGGGATGGCTGCTAGCTCCTTTGTTTGAGCTAAATCTCTCTCTGCCAGCTTCGCAAGCGATATAATGATAGCATGACTCTGTGTGTGTGTGTGTGTGTGTGTGTGTGTGTGTGTGTGTGTGTGTGTGTGTGTGTGTGTGTGTGTGNTGTGTGTGTGTGTGTGTGTGTGTGTGTGTGTGTGTGTGTGTGTGTGTGTGTGTGTGTGTGTGTGAGCGAGCGAGCGAGCGAGTGAGCGAGAGAGAGAGAGAGAGAGAGAGAGAGAGAGAGAGAGAGAGAGAGAGATCATGGTTTGTGCTGCAAAAGTACGCTTATTTATTGCATGAGGCGAGATTGAGGAGATCAGCATTTGTCAACGTCATTCTAGAACACTTCATCCACAGGCGCATCATCGAGCTCTTATAGGAACATAGGAGGAAAAGAGGGATTTTGCTGAATTTTTGACTGTTCTGAGAAAGTTGGCGCAGCAGCGTACATTTGAGAGAGGGACGCAGTCTTAGGGGTTCAGGGCGAAGCTCACACAGCTACTAGCAGCGGGGCCACCTTGAGCAGTGAGAGTGTAACAAGGGGCGGTGGGAACTCTACTGTTCAGGTGGTAAGAGAGCATCGGTGAAGCGCAAAATTGTGTTGTTCCCATTGTGATCAATAAGATATGAAGATCCAAGGGAGCGTGGTGGGGACCCGTCATGGCACCTCTGGCTCTAGACAGTGTTTTTGACAGCCAATGTGAAAGGGCAGACCTGCTGGAGAGGAGGGGATCATAGTTGGTGAAGATAATCCAGCTGATGCAAAACCTGGCCTTTGCTGCTAGGGCTTTAATAGTAGATCTGGTTGGTCTTACGGACTAATACGGAGAGCATCTGGTTCTTGGAGTTCTTTCGTGTGCTGTTACAGATTTCGGAAAACACATTCATTGACATCCACTCAAGATAACCCTTAAGGTAATGTCCCGACTATGGAACGGCGGAGACAGTGTGAGTGTTACTGTCAGTGGTGGGAACGCTATTTGCCCGTAGTTAGCAAATTAAGTCTTGAACTGTATCCATGGTGATCTTGGTTGAGCGAATGTTGTTGCCATTGAAGGTCCAAGGGTGTGCGGTGGTAAGCCCGGCACTGGCTGAATTGCATTGAAGATCCGAGGGTGCGTGGTGGGAAACCCGCAAGAGAAACAGATGAAGAAAAGTCCGAGAAAGAGGCTCCATCGGTCCTACAAATCACCATCCGCATATAGGTACAAGAGACAAGAGAACCATCAACAACACTGGGACTCGAAAGAAATGGTAACGAGGGAAAATGAGAAATGAATTTCATTGTTAGCAAACAATAAAGCAGATCCGGCTCGATGTTCGGACCCCTCTCTTTACCAATCAATTACGGCGTACACCGTGTCAAAGCCTCATAGAGGGTCACCCATGACTGCGGGAAACCAAGAGCGCACTGTCGTCGCTCTCTGCACTATGCCTTATCCACGACTCCCGGTGTTGGCAGTCCCAAGTTCAGAGGCTCGGCTGTCGGTGATGAGCCTAGTTCTATTTTGTCACGACTCATGAAAACTGAAAACGGGAACCTAGTGGCAATCATAGCGGATGCAGATCAACCTTCGATCCCCCATTGTTTCCTACAATGGAAACCTACCCGCTAAATCTGTCTAATCGTTCAATCATTGCTGTAGTGCCCGCTCTGTGCACTATGCCTTATTCCCGACTCCCGGTGTTCGCAGTCCCCCACTGTTTCCTAGTATGAACCAGAGTACTCGGGTAAGCAAGCTGCTTTGCACCACCGCGTACTGCAGACAGCCTCAGCGCTTCGTCCGTTTCTACTGGTGATTTGCCCTTCTGGCGAACGGAAAAGCGGCGCCACGATACTCGTTGCCTGCACGCAGGGTTGCACCGTCACTGCACACACTTTTCTACCAGCGCCCTGGATGACGGCCCTTGCAGCACTTCCGTCATGGCTTACTTGCCGAGAGGTGTGACCGTTGCGGTTACGCAAGGGCGCTTGCACTCTCCGAGGACACACTTCTCGCCGGCGGGACACTCACAATCCTTGCAGCACTTCTGGCACGGACCGCAGGGCACACAGCGCTTCTGTCCCTTGGGGCAGCACGGAAGCTTGCACTGTCCGTTGACGCACTTCTGCCCCTTGGGACAATCGCAATGCTTGCAGCACTTCACGCAGGGGCCGCCCTTACAGCAGCGCTTTAGTCCCGGAGGGCAGCCGCACGGGAGCTTGCACTTTCCGTTGACGCACTTCTGCCCCTTGGGACAATCGCAGTCCTTGCAGCACTTGACGCAGGGACCGTCCTTGCAGCAGCGCTTCAGCCCAGTCGGGCAGCCGCACGGGGACTTGCACTGTCCGTTGACACACTTGTGCCCCTTGGGACACTCGCAATCCTTGCAGCACTTCACGCAGGGGCCGTCCTTACAGCAGCGCTTCAGTCCAGGGGGGCAGCACGGGGGCTTGCACTCTCCCCTGACGCACTTCTTCCCGGGGCCACAGTCGCAGTCCTTGCAGCACTTCACGCACGGACCGTCCTTGCAGCAGCGCTTCAGTCCAGGGGGGCAGCCACACGAGGGCTGACACTCGCCGTTGACGCACTTCTTCCCAGCGCCACAGTCGCAATCCTTGCAGCACTTGACGCACGGACCGTCCTTACAGCAGCGCTTCGTCGCAGGTGCGCAGGGACATGGCGCCTTGGCATCAGCGACATGGAGGGCGCATGCAAGGACCACCAAACTCGCAACGGCCAAGGCCGCAGTAAACCGACCCATCTTTGCGACCGGCACGGTTTTCGCTTAAGACGTTATAGTTGGTTGGCGAGTTCAAATTTCCAACAGCGCGCCCTGCAACAACAGGACACACAAGCAACCATCGTACAGAGAAAAAGAGAGGCAACGCAGCGATGTGACAAGTATAAGTATCACGGTTGGTCAGCTTCGACGGTGAGCCCGCCCAAACGCGTCATGCCGTCGCGAGCGAACGACTTGCTCGAACCAACGGCGCAGCTCTCTACGACGTCTGTGAGCTACCACACAAGCTACGAGCATCGCACAGAGATACAAAACCAAAACGATCATATCAAACAGAGAAGACAAGGAGGAGTGTTCTCACGGTAAACAGAGAGTTTCAGACCGGGACAAAAGAGCGACACGGAAACGTTGGTCAGGTGCTCGCGGGTTCAGGAGCTTCAGACGTGCAGCAGATTCGGCGGTGATCGCCATGAGCATCATCAACTGGGCAACAACGTCACACACACACACACACACACTCACACACACTCACACACACACACAC